AAGATGCCCCTCCTCCTGGGATCCTTGTGTGATGGGTGCTCCTGCCATTCCCAACTATCTTCATGATTTTTTGTTTTAGCCAGTTTTATGGTTTCATGGGGCTGCTAGTTGGTGTAGCGGATAGAGTGCTGAGTCTGGGGCTAGGAACACTCACCTTCCTGAGATCACATCCTGCCTTGGTCACTTACTAGCTGTGAGAGCCTAAGGAAATCACTTAGTCCAGTTTGACTCAGTTTCCTCATCTATAAAATCAATTGGAGAAGAAAATGACTAACCAGTCTAGTATCTCCACCAAGAATACCTCAAGTGGGGTCATGAAGAGTCAGAAATGAGTAAAAAACAACAAAAATGTTTCCAAACAGCCAGAAATATTACATGAGAAGTAATATTATCTCGTGAAAAGAAGTCAGGAACTGAAGGCAGCAAACATTTGAGAGCTGCTGACATCCTGCACTTTACTCCAGCCCATGACCTGATATCCCACTAGTTAATGAGACTTCAGGGGGCTTAGCATGAAGCCTTCTCAAATGGAAAGTCTCCCATTCTTTTATTTCTTGATATGTTTTAGGGGCATCAGTTTTCTTTCTGATCCGAGCTTCCCTGAAGGAATAGGCCATCCTGAAGTAACGGCATTGGGAAAGTCTGGAGTGGGGGCAGGAGGGAAAAGTAATTGAGATCCAGAAGAGTCTGGGTGAGGGACAGCAGGACTGAGTGGACATTGGTCTGAAGGCTTTTGGGCAGCCAAGGGGAAGGGATGCTGGGTAATGGGAGTCTGGCACCAGAAAACGAGCTCAGAGGAAATCAAGGTGAATTCTAAACTTTATTCTTTCGTTCATTCTTTATTTATGGGTCAAAAAGGCAGGGACATTTTTGGGGGAATTATCTTACATGCAGAAGAACAGGGATAGAATCTAAAAAGTTGTCCAAAGGCTGGAATAATTGGCCACATTTCATGACATGTTTTACTATGAATTTCCCTAAAGTCCTGCCCCTGAATAGGAAAAAACGAAGGAGCTTAACAAGGACAGTCTGGGGAAGGGAAATGTGCTCAGTCAGTGAGTCATCCACAAGCATTTAGGAAGCTCTTATCATGAGCCAGGCAAGATACCACGTGTAGGGGACACAAAGGAAGGCTAAAACATACTCCCTGCCCTCAAGGAGCTGACATTCTAATGGGAAAGACTTTGGCTAGGCAATGGGGTTAAGTGACTTGCCGAGGGTCTCACAGCTAGTAAGTGTTATGTGTCTGAGCTGGATTTGAACTCAGGTTCTCCTGAATCCAGGGCCGGTGCTCTGTCCACTGCACCACCTAGCTGCTACAATAACGCCAGTGTTAAACAGAGCCACTTGGTGTGAGTCTTCCTTCCTGGATTGGTTTAACAGCTTTCTTTCTTTCTTTCTTTCTTTCTTTCTTCTTTTTTTGGCTAGGCAGTAGGGTCAAGTGACTTGACCAGGGTCACACAGCTAGTAAGTGTCAAGTATCTGAGGCTGGATTTGAACTCAGGTCCTCCTGACTCCAGGTCCAGTGGTCTATCCACTGTGCCTTCTTGCTGCCCCGAGACTTCTTTTCTTTTTTTTTTTTTCTCGGCTAGGCAATGGGGTTAAGTGACTTGCCCAGGGTCACACAGCTAAGTAAGTGTTATGTGTCTGAGGCTGGATTTGAACTCAGGTCCTCCTGAATCCAGGGCTGGTGCTGTATCCACTGTGCCACCTAACTGCCCCCCCCGAGACTTCTTGTAAATGAGTAGAAACATAGAAGGTAAATACAGCATACGTGAAGGCAATCAGGAAAGCAGGAAGTCAATGATGAAAAAGGGGAATATTAGAGAAATCCTCTTCCAGAAAGTAGATTTTAATTTCAGTCTTAAAAGTCCCCAGAGAGCAGAGATGGAAGTGAGAGAAGGAGAACATACCACTAATGGGGGACAGCCAGGACAAAGGCTCAGGCCTGAGAGATGGAGTGTCCTGTTTGCGGAACGGCAAGGCCAGAGTCTTGGGACCATAAAGTATTTGGAAGAGACCACAGTGTAAGATTGAATGGGCAAGAAAGGTCAGTTTTCTGAAAGACTTCCAAAACCAAACAGAGGATTAACAACACTTATGTGAATGACTGGGCGAACAGGAAGATTAGTGGACTGGAAATCTCAATATGAGTCAATAGATCACCTACTTAAAGTAAAAAAAAAAAGAAAAAGAATTTAATATTAGGATTTCTTCATAATTAAAAGTGCCCAAACCTTCACTTTTCTGCTCACCTGAACCTCCTAAATGCAGACATTTCCTAAGAAAATTTTGGAATTGAGACAATGGAGAATCTTGAACTCTGAGGTGCTTTGACAGGATCTAGTTAGAAAATGTAAGGGGTCTGAGATTGTGTTAAAATATGAATTTAATGAAAGGGAAAGGGAGGGAGGGAGAATGGGAATGAATTGGCCAATAGTTGGAACATAAGGCAAGCACCTTAAATGTGAGAGATTCATTTGCCTTTACATTAGTATAACAGGCAGGGGGCACACTCAACTTTGTCCTTCATAGGGGCCGATCCAGATAATTCCTGGCTTCGTTCTGGTCTACCACATGAAACTTTGTGGTTCTGTTTCTGGACAAGTGTGACTGAGGGCTTGTATTGTCGTTGTGATGAAGAAATCGAATTGAGTGTTTACCTGAAAGGACTAATGACCCAGGGCCCCCTAAGGTATAACTTGATACCCATACAAATATCCAGTGTGAGTAAGGGAGGGCATCTTTTAGCTGCCTCTGCAGAGCCAGACAGGGGAACATTGGCTGCCCTATCTACTTTCCTCTTGGCCGCGAGAGCTGGGAATGGATGGCTGCCTCTTTCTCTTTGTGTTTATTCTATTCTCATCCCAGGGGAAAGAATAAGTCAAGATGGAAGAGTGTTGAGAGGTCTAGAGGTGTGTGGTTTTGGTGCACTTCGAAATGCCTTCTGGCATCTGACTGAGGGCAGAGGAGTTGATCTACTTTGGGAGCAGAGAGACATACTGAGGACAGATAAGGGCAGCCATCCTGATACCTGGGGGATTGAGGTGATAGCTATGGGCTCCAGAAAGGCAGAGATGGTAGACATGCAGCAGAGAGGTCCAATAAAATGGGATCGTAGAGGGGCCCACAGAGGGAGGAAGGACTTCCATTTTCAAACGTGATGAATTACCTATTTTCCCACCTATGCTCTGTGCACTATGGTGCCACCTAGCATCCCCAATCAGAAGAGCAGTAGTCCCTTAAAGGGTCCACACCCCTACACACCCTGCTAATGCACTGTGGCTGACCTTTCAGACACAGGGCCTTACAAGCCCCTTGCCTTGGCATGGGATTGTTATGGGCTCGTTAAGACTCCCTAGCTAAGGGTGCATGCAGAAGACAGTTGGTTGGAGGTGCTTATGCTGGGGGGAAAAGCAAACAATCGTGATTTTTGCTACCCTAGACACAATCACAAAGTGCCTCCCCCAGCATGAATTTAGAATCATAACTCGGCAAGCTCTCTGAATGTAGAATTAAAGATTGCGAGTAGACTTGAAAAGTCCGCCAATCTCCTTTGATTTCCAGAATTCATCAGAGCATTGTCTTCGGTTTTGTTTCTTCCTCACGTGGGAAGATGTGGTTCGTGAAAATCGAGTTTTGACTAGAAAGTGGGGCCTTGGGTTAATTTTGGGGTGTGATTTTATGTTTGTTTGGTGGTGACTAGAGAAGAGTTTTGTTGACTTACTCCACCACCTTGGCTCACAGAAGTCTCCTTGCTCAAGTGTTTTAAAGTTAGTGTATAGGAGCAGCTGGGTGGCACAGTGGATAGAGCACCAGCCCTCTACTCAGGAGGACCTGAGTTCAAGTCTAGCCTCAGACAGTTGACACTTACTAGCTCTGCATCACCAGGCAAGCCATTTAACCCTGATTGTCTTGCGAAAAAAAATAAATAAAATTATTGTTCCTCATGTTGCTGTTATTATTACTTTATGTTATTGTGTAAATCATGGTCCTTGTTTTGCTCACATTACTCTGAATCGCTCAATCATTCTGGATATTATCTGGTATATTCTCATGTGTATGGTTTCTTTGTTTTCAGTTTATTATCATCTAGGAAAAGGTGGTGTACTTGAAGTGTGCTCTGTGTTGTCTTTGTGTATCTGGCATCTGGCGGGAAGGGACTCAAAATATGGATACACACACACACCCACACCCACACACACACACACACACAACTTGGGTCACTCATTCCCCAGTAAGGCATAGCAATGAGGAGGTCAGCTTGGACTTTAAAGCTCTTGTTCTCTTAGACTAACATTATTAAGACAGAGAAGATAGTTACAATTCTAACCAGGCACCTTGATATCTATGAGGAGAGCAGAATGGCCAGCTTCCTGGCAACAATCTCTTGTTCCCCATGTTTGTAGGAACTGAAGTCTTCCTTGGAAAAGGTTAGGAAAAGGAGACTCTAGAGAAATCTCTTCAGGGCCCACTGTCATGAATAGATAAAAATGTTGGATACAAATCTGATTTAAAAACATGGTCTGAGTAAATAGGCACGGCCTGTGAAATTTAAGCTTGGCCCATTGTTGGGTGTCCTCAGGCTGTTTCCTGGTCTTCTGGAGCTCCTGGGTCCATGAGTCATTGCTTTCTATGCAAAGGACAGAAAGAACTTCTGGCTAGACATTTCTGGTTTCCTCTTTTTTTTTGTTTAATGGGGAGTCAGACGAAATATGAATGGGAGAGTGCCCCAGGCACAGGCCAGTGTAGGGTGACCCAATCTGACAGGGGCTGGTTCTTTGTTTGCCTACACTGCTCATGGCAGCAGAGGAGCGAGAGCCCTCAGGGCACAGAGCTGCCAGACCATGGCCTTTCCCCTGGGCCCTGGGCCCCTTTTCTCATGTAAGCCCCAGAGACCCTGCCCCTGAGCAGGGAGCCCAGCAGCTGCTGGAGGAGAGGAAGGAGAGGAGACAGCTGAGCCCCCTGACCAGCCAGCCTAGGCCTGGGGAGGTTTTTGTTCAGGGATGTAACACTGTGTGAGGATAAGAAGTTGCTTGAAAACAGTAATAAACTGCCCCATCCTCAGGCTCCACACTGCTGATTGTGAGGGTGAAATCCTTCTCAGCACCACTGCCACTGAACCGGGCAGGCACTCCTGAGTACAGGTTGGAAAGATAGTAAATCAGTCCACGAGGAGATTGTCCAGGTTTCTGTTGGAGCCAGTACAGATACGTTTTTCCATCACTGTGTTTGACACTCTGACTGGCCTTGCAGCTGATGGTGATTCTCTCTCCTGGGGTCACAGACACTGAGGCTGGAGACTGGGTCAGCACAATTTCCCCCCTGGAACCTAAAAGCAGGAATCAATAATCAACCAACATGAAATGCACAGAACAATCTCCTTCCACTTTGATATTTAGCCCACAGCAGCCTGGCTCTGCAAACCCCACTGACCTCCTAGAAATCCCCATTCCCCCTTGGACTGTGCTGGCTCCTGGCCCCAGAGATTCTAAGCGCCTTTGAATTCTCTCATCTTATGAAAAATTGCACGTTGGCATGTTGTGTTGTCCCATGTTCTCACCTGGGACTAAAAGCATGAGGAGCCCGCAGAGAAGCTGGGACAGTGACCCCATTTTGCAGTGTCTCCTCCCCTGTGGCTGCTCTGACCCCAGTCCTAGTTTATGTCCCTGGGTCTGTAGGCCCTCCCCTTGGGGATCTCTTTATGCAAAGCATCTAGGGCTGTGGGGCTTCTAAGAGCAGAAGTAACTGACTTCAGTTCAGGGGAAGCCCCTGAGACTTTGATACCCTGAAAATGTCATTCCTCCAGGGACCTTTGTGTAATGGGTGCTCCTGGTATTCCCACCTGTCCTTAGGCTTTTATTAGTTTTAGTCAGTTTTATGATTTCATGGGGCTGTGGGGTGGTGTAATGGATAGAGTGCTGAGCCTGGGCTAAGAATACATACCTTCCTGAGATCACATCCTGTCTTAGCCACTTACTGGGTGTGAGAGCAGGCAAGTCACTTAACCCTGTTTGCCTCAGTTTCCTCATCTGTAAAATTAGATAGAGATGAAAATAGCAAATCTCTCCAGTATCTTTGCCAATGAAAATACCAAATAGGGTCATGAAGAGTCAGAAATGCATGAATAAGTACAAAAATAGTTCCAAAATGCCAGAGATATTATACAAGAAGCAATATTGTCTAATGAATTGAGGTGAGGACCTGAAAGGCTGCAAAGTTCTGAGAACTACTGACATCCTGCCCTTTATTTGAACACATCATCTGATTTCCCACTAATTAATGATCCTTTTGGGGTCTTAGCATGGAGCCTTCTAAAATGGAAGACCTGCCATTCTTTTATTACTTAGTATGGTTTAGGTCAAATAGCATTATTTCCCACCCTTATTTCCCTGAAGGAATCAGCTCTCCTGAAGTAATGGCACTGGGGAAGTCTGGAGTGGGGGCAGGAGGGAAAAGTAATTGAAATCCAGAAGAGTCTGGGTGAGGGAAGGCAGGACTGAGTGGACACTGGCCTGAAGGCTTTTGGGCAGCCAAAGGAAAGGGAAGCTGAGTAATGGGGGTCTGGCCCCAGAGAAGGAGCTCAAAGGAAAGCAAGGTAATTTCTATCTTTTATTTTCTCATTCTTTACTCGTGGGTCAAATATGCAGGGAAATTTTTTTGGGAGAATTATTTTACATGCAGAAGAACAGGGATAGAATCTAAAAAGTTGTCCAAAGGCTGGAATAATGGGCCACATTGAATGATATGGATTTTACTAGGAATTTCCCTAAAGTCCTGCCCCTGAATAGGAAAATAGGAGCTGCACAAATACAGGTTTCAGGAATGGGAAGGGAAATGTGGGCAGTCAGTTTGTCATTCACAAACATTTAGGAAGCTCTTACCATGAGCCAGGGAAGATGTCATGTACAGGGAATGCAAAAGAAGACTAAAATACAGGCCCTGCCCTCAGAGAGTTGGCATTCTACTGGGAAAGACATCTTGTAAAAGAGATACATACAGTGTATAGGAAGGCAGTTAGAAAGGCAGAAAGTGGGTGGTGAGGAAAGGGAATACTAGGCATATCCTCTTGCAGAAAGTGCATTTTTGTCCTTAAAATTTCTTCAAATTCTCCAGAAACAAGGGATGAAAGTCAGGGAGGGAGAACATTCCACCCATTGGGACAGCCAAGAAAAAGGGCCAGACCTGAGAGATGGAGTGTCCTGTTCGAGGAACAGCAAGGCTGGAGTCTTGCAACCAAAGAGTACTTGGAAGAGACCAAAGTGTTAGCGTGAAAAGGCAAGAAGGGTCTGGGTTCTGAAGGACTTTCAAAGCCACACAGAGGATTAACAGCACTTATGACAATGACTGGGAGAGCAGGAGGATTAGTGGAATGGATCCCTCAATAGGAATCAATAGGCTACTTACTTAGAGTGAAAAATAGAAATTAATATTAGGCTTTATTCATAATTAAAAGTGCCCAAACCTTCACATGAACTTCCTAAATGCAGACATTTCCTAAGAAAATTTTGGAAGTGACACAATGGAGAACCCTGGACTCTGAAGTGCCTTGACAGTGTCTAGTTAGGATATGTGAAGGCGTCAGAGATTGTGTTACGATATGAATTTAATGGAAGGGAAAGGGATGGCAGGCAGGGAGAACGCGAAGATTTTGACAAGAGTTGGAATGTAGGGCAGACACCTTACAGGTGAGAAATTTATTAGACCATATATTAGTAGAACAGACATGGGGCACACTCAGCTTTGCCCTTCTCGGGGGTTAATCCAGACATTCCGTGCATGGTTCTGGTCTATCTCATGAAACTTGTTGGGTGTGTGTCTGACTATGTATGACTGAAAGCTTGTAACGTCTGGGTGATGAGGTTATCTAGTTGCCTACTTATTGAAAGGACTAATGTCCCAGGGGCCACTAAGGTAGAACTTGACACACATAGAAAGATCCAGTGTGAGAATGGGAGGACATCTTTTAGCTGCCTCTGGAGAGCCACATAGAGGAAAGTTGACTGCCCCATCTATTTTTATCTTGGCTATTGGGGTAGGAATAGATGGCTGCCTCTTGCTCTTTGTGTTTATTCTTTTCTCATCTTAGGGGAAAGAATAACTCAAGACGGAAGAGTATTGAGAGGTCTAGGGGTCCGTGGTTTTGGTGCAGTTAGAAATACCTTCTGGAATCTGGCTGAGGGCAGAGGAATCATTTGTCTACATTTGGAGAAGAGACACATACTGAGCACAGAGAGCTGCAGGCATCCTGACCCCTCTTGATGGAGTGAGGTGATTGCTATGGGCTCCAGAAAGGCAAAGATGCACAGAGAGATCCAGGGAAGAGGAGTTGTATAAGGGCCAACAAAGGGAAGAAGGACTTCCATTTTTTTTTTCAATTTTATTAATTCATTTTTAGTTTTCAACATTCACTTCCACAAGATTTTGAGTTCCAAATTTTCTCCCTATCTCGTCCCTCTCCCACCCCAAGATGACATACATTCTGAATACCCTTTCCCCTTATCTGCCCTCCCTTCTATCTTCCCCTTCCCCTCACTTCTCTTATCCCCTTCCCCTTCTGTTTTCCTGTACAGCAGGATAGATTTCTATTCTCCATTGTCTATATATCTTATTTCCCAGTTATGTGTGAAAACAGTTTTTAAAATTTGTTTTTAAAACTTTGGCTTCCAAATTTTCTCCCTTCCTCCAACCCTCATTGAGAAGGCAAGCAACTCGATAGAGGTTATACATGTGTAGTCATGCAAAACACTTCCACAGTAGTCATGTTGTGAAAAACTAACTACATTTCCCTTCATCCAATCCCACTCTCCGTTTACTCTCTTCTCTCTTGACCCTGTCCCTCTTCAGAAGTGTTTGCTTCTGATGACCCCCTCCCCCGTCTGCACTCCCCTCTATCTTCCCCCTGCTCTCTTGTCACCTTCTTCCCTGTTTTCCTGTAGGATAAGATAGATTTCCATACCCAATTGAGTGTGCATGTTATTCCCCCCTTAAGCCAAATCTGATGAGAATAAGATTCACTCATTCCCTCACCTTCCCCCACTTCCCCTCTAGTGTAAAAGCCTTTTCTTTTCTGTTGTATGTGTGATAATTTACCCCATTCTACCTCTCTCTTTCTCCTTCTCACAGTACAATCCTCTCTCACCCCTTAATTTTATTCTCCAGATATCACCCATTCATCTTCAACTCACCCTGTCCACTCTCTCTATCTTATTTATCTATCTATCTATCTATCTGTCTATCTATCTATCTATCTATCTGTCCATACATATTCCCTACCCTAATACTGACAAAGGTGTCATGAGTTACAAATGTCATCTTTCCATGCAGGAATGCAAACAGTTCAACCATAGTAAGTCCCTTATGATTTCTCTTTCCTGTTTACCTCATCTTGGTTCCTTTGAGGCTTGTATTTGAAAGTCAAATTTTCTATTCAGCTCCGGCCTTTAAATGCTTGAAAGACCTCTATTTCACTGAATGTCCATATTCCCCCCAAAGTATTATACTCAGTTTTGCTGGGTAGGTGATTGTGTAATAATCCTAGCTCCTTTGACCTCTGGAATATTACATTCCAAGCCCTCCAGTTCCTTAAGGTAGAAGCTGCTAAATCTTGTGTTATCTTGATTGTGTTTCCACAATGCTTGAATTGATTCTTTCTGGCTGCTTGCAATACTTTTTCCTTGACCTGGGAACTCTGGAATTTGGCTATAATATTCCTAGGGTTTTTCCTTTGGAGATCTCTTTCAGGATGTGCTCAGTGGATTCTTCCAATTTCTATTTTACCCTCTGCTTCTAGAATGTCAGGGCAGTTTTCCTTGATAATTTCTTGAAACATGACGTCTAGGCTCTTTTTTTTGATCATGGCTTTCAGGAAGTCCAATAATTTTTAAATTATCTCTCCTGGATCTATTTTCCAGGTCAGTTGCTTTCTCAATGAGATATTTCACATTCTTTTCTATTTTTTTTAAATTTTTTTGCTTTTGTTTTACAATATCTTGATTTCTCATGAAGTCACTAGCTTCCATTTGCTCCATTCTAATTTTTAAGGAAGTATTTTTTTCAGCAAGCTTTTGGACTTCCTTTTCCATTTGGCTAATTTTGCTTTTTAAAGAATTCTTCTCTGGGGCAGCTAGGTGGCGCAGTGGATAGGGCACCAGCCCTGAAGTTAGGAAGACCTGAGTTCAAATCCGGCTTCAGACCAAACACTTGACACTTACTAGCTGTGTGACCTTGGGCAAGTCACTTAACCCTAATTGCCTAAGCAAAAATAAAACAAAATAAAATAAAAATAAAGAATTCTTCTCCTCATTGCCTCTTTGAACCTCTTTTGCCATTTGGGTTAGACTATTTTTTTAAGGTGTTATTTTCTTCATTATTTCTTGGGTTTCTTTTAGCCAGATGTTGACTAGTTTTTCATGATTTTCTTGCATCCTTCTCATTTCTCTTCTCTGTTTTTCCTCTACTTCTCTTACTTTCTTCTCAAAATCCTTTTTGTGCTCTTCCATGGCCTGGGACTGACTCATATTTTTCTTCGAGGCTTTGGATGTAGGAGCCTTGACTGTGTTTTCTTCTGGCTGTGTATTTTGCTCTTCTTTGTCATCAAAGAAAGATTCTATGGCCTGACATTTTTTTGTGTAGTTTGCTCATGACCCCAGTCAATTACTTGAGTTTTAAACTC